ACAAGCAAAGACGGGGGAAGGGACTCGTTATACGGTAGGTTCGCGCGGCGTCGGCGCGCGCAAAGATTTTTGACACCACATCGATCATTCAATCTTGAATCGATCGCGGCCCCGATCGTTCAAGGTTGAATTCAGTCGGGTCCTGTGGCGTTACCGTGTCCATCGATGCTTCCGCGTCGCAGAGTTCAGCCTTGAACACCTTCGCCGGCGTCGCCACAACGCCAACGCCGCATGAACCTACCGTAGGTTCCTTTTCCTCCTCCGACTGCAGGACTCACTGCTGAGACTTCCTGGCCTGACGACCAGCGACCCCGAACGGGGCGAGGGCCCGGCCTTCAGTTTCAGCGTTGGCCTGACGGGCTCTGCAGGGAAATGATGAGACCCAACCTGACATTTGGCACGGGCTCACGCTGCCACCATCCCACGAAAACTGCATCGTCTGAATCCAAGACGGGCTCACCAAAGTTCGTGGGCACACCCCGGTGCTGGCGAGCTCGAGCCTTACGTCTCCCCGATTCAGAGGCCAGGCAGGGGCGCTGTCCGGCAGCCCAGCTGGCACCGAGCAGGCCTCCGCCTGGAAACTTTATCCCAGGCGGCCGGTGCGTATGTGGACCAGTCGCTCCTCCTACATCCAAGCTGCTACCACTACCTCCCTGACATGCATATACATGCATACATGCATACCTACATACATACATACATATGTTCAGACATGCATGTATGCACACATTCATGCATGCATACATACATGCATACTCTAGTGCATGCATACATACATGCATACGAATGTTCATGCATGCATACCTACGTCCATGCATACATGCATACATACCTGTGGACAGACATACAAACAGACGCACATGCATGCATGCATGCATATATGCATATACATCATATATATATATAATGCATGCATACACCCATATCTGGATGTACATACATATACAAAAAAACAAACATACACACATACAAAACTACATACACACATACCTACATACATACATACATGCATACATACGTGCATGCATGCATACAGACATACACACATACATACACGCATACATACATGCGTACGTACGTACATACATACATATATGCATACATACTACGTACGTACGTACGTACATACGTACAGACAGACACGCAGACAGACGGACAGACAGACTGCCAGACAGACAGACCGACAGACAAACAGACAGACATTCAAATGTGCACGTCCACTATCTATATATGTAATGTTTCATACCCCGGGCGTTTCTTCTAGATTTCGGCCTCCAGGTCCCGTTATCGGGCCCCGCGACGAGCAGAAACGGACCAGGGGGGAAAAACTAAACCCGGGGAAAAGGATCGGGGCCTCTAAGAGCCGCTCATGGGAAACATCAGATCGTCGGATGCCTAGGAGCAACCCAGAACAAGGAACAAAGCAATATCCTGGGGAGAGCCTGAGGAACAGCGAACACTTTGGAAGCCGATATGTCCCTAGCTTCAGCGTCTTGGTTGCATTCCACACCTCCAGCTCCTGGTCCACGTCATTCTGCATCCTTCGAGGGACCTTGTCTGTCCTGTTGCGCCGCTATCAAAGTAAAACCCGCGTCGAACGCGTGTCGAACGCGTTGAATCAACGTCGAACCCACGTCGAAACCGCGTCGGGCACAAGAAAGGCCGCTGTATGCAGGACAGACAATGCCCTCACGAATATGCAACCAAATCCACTGCCGTGTATGCCGGATGTGTGACACACCGCTGGTCTCTTGACCCAGGAGCAAGACGTCAAGACATAGGGAGAGAATACTGACATAATGCGATTGACTCGGGATGCAGTCCGAGAGTTCCAGATCTTCTAGCAGCCCTCGGCCATTCGTGCTCGGCCATCCGTCTCTGGCCGCGCGGGACAGCCAGAGCACCCGGAAACCTTGGAACGCATCATTCTCATGACTTCCTGCTTCTCCGAAAGAAGCATCCACGGCAAAGACCTCGGACTCGGGGCGGTCGGGCCCAGCGACTGAACAAATGGAATACCTGGGGGCAACGGTCTAGAGTTCTGGCAACATGAGGCAAGAGGTCAATGAAAGACTTAGTGTACCTTGGGGGGAACTTCAAAAATAGACCTCAATCGGTATAGAAAGATGAACGTATGCGGGGCGCTAGTTACGACTAAAGTTATGTATTCGTTGGATTCAGCTTTTCTAAACAAGGACAACAGACGACGATTGGATGGGTTCCAGACGCGGTGCCTTCGTCATATTCTGAACACTTGCCATTCTTACATTTCAGGGGTTCCCAACAAAAGTGTGCTCCAACAGGCGGGGGCGACCGCTTACAGTGCTCAGCTACTCCAGCAGCGGCTTATGTGGTTCGGGAGACTTGGCCGCAGCAGCGACACGGACCTGCTCGGACAACTCACCTTCCAACCAAACAGCGTAAGATCGATGACTGACCCTCCTGCACTCGCGGCAGCGCGGGCGCCCCTGGCACGAGTAGGCGAAGTGGGCGTAGAATAAGGTCCAAAGCTGTTTCGAATCAGAGTATGCTCTTTCCCACTGCGTCGCAGACAAAAGGTAGTGGTGACCGTTTGTTACAGAGACTCGTTGACGAAGACGAGCGATTCTGCATCTCGTTCGTACTTGGTTGCCCCTCCGTTCCTCCCTCCTCCTCTGCTCGCGCATACTCTGCAGCACCAGTCGTGCTGCGCTCTGCTTTTCTGCTACTTCACGGTCGTGGGGCGCTCGTTTTTTACGGGACTAACAAATTATACACCACCACAACCTCCCTCGCCCCCTCCCTCTTCCACGAAAGAGGAGAGGAAGAGGAGGGAGAAGGAATGGAGATGATGGTGGTGTATGTTCTTGGGACCCGCAGTTGTCTTGCGTCACGGTCGTGATGCGGATTGTTCTCTCGCCTCCGACGTGGCGCCCATTTCACAGTTCGTCTGCCCGTACGCCCTGCCGAGGGCTGAGCAGTAGCAGTACAATGCAAGTCGTTGTCTCTCGGCCACACGCAAGAGTGACCGTAGCAAACAGTGACCTCTGGTCCGCGGAGTGAAAAGGCCGGGGGGGGGGGGCAAATCCAAGCGCGCAGGGCAGCAGGAGCCGGGGACCTGTGTGGGCGGCCCGCACCAAAGGTCACTCTGGTGCGAAAGGTCACTCTTGCGCGCAGCCGAGCCTCGCCTACGCGCCCACTGGCCGCACGGCATCTTGACTCAGCTCAGCCCCGTTGGCTGGCGTGCTGAAGAGTGGCACGCCGCGTGGCGTGTGTCTGATTTTGTTTCCTCTTGATGTGCGGATGACAATGTGGATTGGATCGTCTTCGAAGGAGGTTCATGTTTGCGGAGTGGCAGCGTGGTCTTCGCAACTCTCTTCCGATCCCTGCCCCGCGGAATGGTCCTTCGGGTCCACCGTCAGTCGGGTTTTGGGACGGTGCTTGTTTGCGGCCACCCTCCCTTGCTGCTGCTATTTCTCATATCGTTCTCCTTTCCACTGCCGTCTCATGCGTGAGGTATGGCAGATCGCTACTCTCCTACCCTGGGGGAAAAGGATATCGACGTCACATCCTGCGGGTCGCGTGACGGTTTGAGATCTAACCTGCCCTCTCAAGCCTGGCCGTCGCCGCGGCGCGCGCTATTTCTCTTGTCTCGCCTTCTGGATGGCCCTCTCGTCTCCCTTCTCCCTCACTTTTTCTCTCTCTAACTCTCTCGCCCTCTCTCTCTCTCTCTCTCTATATATATATATAGTGCGTTCTCTCTATTGCGTTCTCTCTCGCTCTCTATAGTCATCTTTGCACCTTCCGCTTCCACCTCGAACCTTCCCGCATATCGTTCCTCGTTCCCCATCTCTCCTGCTCCCTCTCGCCTGCAGCACATCAGCCTTTTGCTCCTCCTCGTCACCCTCACCCCTCATCGGCGTGGGCTTCTCTCCACCCGCTCCTCCCCGAAAAACGTGAGCAACGCGTCTGGGGAAGCCTGGCGAGAGGCCTGCACAACCACTCTCGGTCTGGCCGCCAAGACCGCGCCTTCGCCGGTACTCCATGGGCAATGCGCGCGGGAGAATCGCGATGCAACAAAGTCGTCAAGTCTGCCACCCCCCTTCGGGCAGGGCAGCAGAGAGATCCAGCGCGCCTTCCAGAGCAGGCCTGCGCGAATTAGTGGCCCTTGCTTCCGCGGCCGCAGGACTGTCAGCCCGAGCGAGGAGGAGGAAGAGGAGGAGGAGGAAGAGGAGGAGGGCCAGGGCCGCGACGCGCGAAGCGCGATTCATTCGCGCCCCCGCGGGTCACCGAGCTCAGGGAGCCCGAAGCTCGGGGACGAGGTCGACGAGAGCTGACGGGCCGAAGGGCGCCCCCTCGCGCAGACCTGCCTGAAGGCCCCGGAAAAGCACACCGTCTTGCGGCCCCCCGACGTCGTCGCAAGCTCCCACTCGCTCCCCGCGCTCCGCCCCAGGACGCGGAACAATTCGCGGGAGCTTTTCGCATCCTCCGCGGGGGGACCGCTCCTGGCCCGGAGTCGGCCCGTATCATCAGGATGCGCGGCGAGGATGCAAGGGCCTTGAAAGGCCATTTCGAGGCTTGTCGAGCGGAGCGCGGCCGGCGAAAGTGGCCAAGGATGGGCCGAAGGGGCAAGGATGCAAGGGGTTACCCTTGAGAAGCTTGCCCATCCTTACTCTGCGAGCTGACTGCACCCCGGGGCCGTCGAAGGACAGCTCGGGCAGGCAAGCCTGGCCGCAGGGCATAGGCAGGGGTCGAGAGGTGCGTGGGTGCCGCTGGCTCGGGGGAGGAGGGAGCGGGCCGTCGGAGGTCTCGGAGGCGGGGGCCGCCGAACGGCCCCGGGGGGGGGGGGCTCCAGCCTGGGGCGCAGGGCCGGATGGGCTGCGGGGGGGGGGGGGGGCGGGCGGGCCGGAGGGACAGGGCAGGACGGGGGAGGAGCAGGGCAAGGAGGGGGCAGCGAGGCGCACGGGGAGGGAGGGAACGGACACAAGCGCGCTCCCGCCGGAGCAGCGCGGGCACCACAGTCACACATCCAGGCCGTACCCGCCAGACATCCGCGAGCCCCAGGCCCGTCGCAGCACATCCTGCGCACGGGGAGGCGATGAACCCGTCCACATCCTGCCCTTCCTCAATCCCTCCAACTCCTCCCTCCCTCTTGACTCTCGACTCCTTCCAATCCACACACACACACACATCCTTCCCTCAACCTCTCACGGCCTCCTTTCGACCCCCGTCCTTCTATGGTCCATTCCCCTCTTCCTCCGTCCTTCCCATCCCGTCTGCACTCCATCAGCCGCCGACCCGGGCTCCAACTCCTCCCATCTTCGCCCTCACAATCCCTTCCGCTCCACTCTGGCCGCCCCAATCCCGAGCCCCTTTTCTGACTGCCCTGCCCTGTCGTTTCACCACCCCGCTGATCCGCCGCCGTGCCCCCTGGCACACTGAGGCGGGGCAGCATGCCAAGTGCTGTCTGGCAGGGCCTCCGTAGTAGTTTAAAAGACAGGCTCCCTCTCGCCGCAAAATGCTGCATGCACCGCCCCGCCTCCCGAGGCTCCCTCCACGCGTGCCGGAAGCTTTCCACGGCTCTTCGAGGCGTCCAAGTCAGCCCAGGAAGTGCAACAAGGCCGCCAGGATGGCCCAAGATCGCCTCTAGACGCGCCCAAGAGCCCATCACAAGCGTCAAATGAATCCCAAGAGGCCTCCAAGAGACCTCCACACAAACCCCAAGACGTTCCCCATGCGGCCCCCGAGAAGGCAACATACAGCGATCATCGCCTGAAGATTCACAACGTTTCGCCTTCCACGCTCTTCGGTCCAAGACCACTCCACATGTGGTTTTCGAAAACCCCAAACGGCCGACTGTTAGCCCCAAGGGGGACGGCCAAAGACTGCCCCAAGGACAGGAGGCCCTCCCGAGGGATCCAGCAAAACTGGGACGGCCCCAAGACGGCCACAAGAGAACCCAAAAGACCTCCAAGACGGCCCCAGGGAAGGCCTCAGTCAGACGGTTCAACCTCCGAAGGCGTCAGATGGGGCTCGGGAGCCTCAAAAGCGATGCCCAAAGGAGCCCCAAATGGGCCTCAATAGCAGAGGAAAAAGCCTCCAAGACGAAAGAGGGCTAAGAAACCTCCGAAACGGCCCCAGGGTGCCTCATGACGGCCCAGGAAAGCACCCACAACAGCATTCAAAAACGTCAGAGAGGACAAGGGCGCCCTACTACAGCTTCAGAGACCTTCAAGAACCTCCAAGAGGCCCTCCTCCACCTCCAGGGCCGCGAGATTTGGATGCAACTTTGCCGAGGCGGGGTCCGCCATGGTACCCGCTCGACGGGTTCAACTCGGCGAGCCTCCTGAGGATGGCCGGTGGAGCGACTTGGCTGCTTAACTGCCTTCCAATAGACGGGGGGATGGTTCGTGAGCCCCCACCAACTCAGCCGGATGGCCCTGGACGGCCCCAAACAGGGGCCCGGAAACATCAAAATGGCTGCAGCATCGGCCGAGATGCCACGTGACTGCCGCCAAGATGGCACACCATGGCATCATGATCGCCCTAGACGACTCCAGGACGGCCTCAGAGAGGTTTAAGAGGACGGGCCCAGCGGGCCTCCCAGGCCCAAAACCATCGAAAACACCAGAGGTGTGTTTATGATTCTACGAGTATCGGCCCGTCGGGTTCCCAAAAATACCCCAAACGACCTTCATGACGATGAATGACGATCCGAGCGTGCCGAATCAGGCCTTACCCGTGACATTCTCAAGCCTGCACGCATGCAGGTCTGTGCGCGCCCAGAGACCTGCACGCATGCAGGTCCGAGCACCCAAGAACCTGCACGCGTGCGGGAAGAACAATGACCAAAACGGTGATGAGATGCACAATGGTGCGGATGAGATGGATGATGGAAGAGGGTGATGATGAGACGGGTGATGGATGATGGATGATGATCGACGGATGCTTCAGTTACGCACCCTTCGTCAGTGGCCCAGCGACCAAACCCAGCAACAGACGGCCCCCCGGCCATGGCTCTCGCCCAGGTGTGCCGCATACAGGAACAGGCTGATACCCCGCCACGTTCCGCGCCAGGGAAAGGCGTTCGAGAACTGCTGCAAGCCCAGGTTCTGTAGCACGGGCAGCGCGACGGCATGAGGCGGCCCACCTTTGACCCCGAGCCCGAGCCACTGATGCCGTCGCTTGGCTGGAAGTCTCACGCCGCCAATTGGCCGGAAGTCTCGCTGCCGCTTACGAACTCCTGCTGGGTCCTGTTGAGACCTCTCGCCGCAGCTGCGCAGGCCGCGAGCATCCTCGCACAGCAGCCGCGCCTCCTCCTCCGAGGTGACTGAAAGAGCGCGTAGCGTGCCATCCGTTAGCCGGAAGAAATGAAACTACTCGGAGTTTGAGGGGGTGGCATCCTGGGCCCCAGGATATAATAGACCGCCCTTTTCCCTGTGAACGGAGCCCTTAACAGGGAAATTCGGGTGAAAAACTGGCCCGCCCGTTTCCCTGTTAACGGTGACGTAACCAGTTCTTGACACCAGGGCCCGAAGCGGGCGGCAACGTAAGCTCCGCGTAAGCTCCGCGTAGGCTTCGCGTAAGCGCGGAATGTCCTCGTCAACTTGAGGCACCTTCAAGACAGCCCATGAGAGGCCAAGCGTTCTCCAAGAGGGTCCAAGATGCCTCCAAGACGACCCACGAGGCCAGAGGCCCGTAAGATCGCCCCAAGATGGCCCAAGATACCCCCAAGACGGCCCCAAGACGTGTTCGAACAGCCGCACGTATACAGACGGCTTCAACGGCCTCCAAGACGGCGTAGAGAGGCCCAGACGGGCCCGAGGACGGCGAAAGAGCGATGCAGATAGCCCACGACGGCCTCAATACGGCTCAAGAGGTCTCCAAGACCCCCCCCCCGAGCACCGATGGGCGGTCTAAGCGGGAAGAAAAAACGAAAGTATGGCTTTCGCCGCCCGGGGGGCGCCCTTGGTCCCGCCCTACCTGCATAAGCTCATCGCCAGCTTACGGCACCTCCAAGACGGCGTGAGAGAGGCCCAGACGGGACCGAAGACGGCCCAAGAGCGATCCAAGATAGCCCAAGATGGCCTCAGCACAGCCCAAGAGGCCTCCAAGACACCCCAAGCGGCACCCGAAAGGACCCCCAGAAGTGCTGAAGGACGAATCAACCATTGCTGTCTTTAGGTTTATTAGGTTTTCCAGCTCCTCGCCTTTTCGGGTTAGAACGGCCCGATACAGCTCCAGAGGCCCCCCGAGATTGTACCATGACGGCCCGAGAGGTTCTCAAGAGAGCCTGAGGACGGCCCAGAAGGGTCCCAAGAGGGGTTAAGAGAGCCACAAGACGGCCCAAGGAGGGCCTGGAAGACGCCCAAGATGCTCCCAAGAGACAGCATGTCGTCGTCATCATCACCAGTGCTATCCTAATCTTCATTCGTGTTTTATCGCGCTCTAGTGCCGTCCCAAGATACCAACACGCCCTGGTTCCCCCTCAAGAGGCCTCCTGCAGCTTCGAGGTAGCCCTAGAGGGCGCCCAATATGCCACCAAGATGCCCCAAGAGAGCCTCCAGACGGGGAGACATAGAGAAAGAACGGGCAAGCCAACGACATCTCGCGCTCTGAAAGCAAAAGCGATGTCCGTCCCCATGCCAAGCAGGTCGAATGGCATTCGGCCCATCCCGCCATCGTGCCTGGGTTGTGGGTATGAAGCCTAATGGATCTTCGTTGGGATCTCGTGGGGGGCTTCTCGGGGGCCTCTTGGAGGCAGTTTGGACGTCTCGTGGGGGCAGTTTGGGGGCCTCTTGGGTGCGTTTTGGGGTCCTCTTCTAATCGCCCCCCCCCCCCCGTTCTAATCGCCCCCCCCCCGTTCTAATCGCCCCCCCCCGTTCTACGCGCCCCACTCCTCCTGCGCGTAGGGAGGGGGCGCGCGCGCGGCGTGGCAAACGGTCTGTTGGATCACTCGAACGCTCCTTAATGGCGAGAGGTGCGCCGAAGTGGGGGTGGAACTGCACGCGGACCCTGCCACTGGGCCCTTCGGCGGAGCACCATTTGGGGCCACGAAACGTGTGAGGGGTGCGCCGAAATGGAGGTGGAACTGCATGCGGACCCTGCCACTGGGGCCTTCGGCGGAGCACCCTATGTGGCCACGGAACGTGTGAGGGGTGCGCCGAAATGGAGGTGGAACTGCATGCGGACCCTGACACTGGCAGGGCCCCTTAGGCGGAGCACCCCATGGGGCCACGAAACGTGTGAGGGGTGCGCCGAAATGAGGGTGGAACTGCATGCGGACCCTGCCACTGGGGCCCCTTCGGCGGAGCACCCTATGGGGCCAAGAAAAATGTGAGGGGTGCGTGGAAATGAAGTGGAACTGCATGCGGACCCTGCCACTGGGGGGGCCCCTTCGGCGGAGCACCATTTGGGGCCACGCAACGTGTGAGGGGTGCGCCGAAATGGAGGTGGAACTGCATGCGGACACTGCCACCTGGGGCCTTCGGCGGAGCATCCTATGGGGCCACGAAACGTGTGAGGGGTGCGTCGAAATGGAGGTGGAACTGCATGCGGACCCTGCCACTGGGATCTTGGGTGGAGCACCCTTAGGGGCCACGAAACGTGTGAGGGGTGCGCCGAAATGGGGGTGGAACTGCATGCGGACCCTGCCACTGGGGCCCCTCAGGCGGAGCACCCTATGGGGCCACGAAACGTGTGAGAGGTGTGCCGAAATGAAGTGGAACTGCATGCGGGCACTGCCACTGGGGCCTTCGGCGGAGCACCATTTGGGGCCACGAAACGTGTGAGGGGTGCGCCGAAATGGAGGTGGAACTGCATGCGGACCCTGCCACTGGGGCCTTCGGCGGAGCACCCTATGTGGCCACGGAACGTGTGAGGGGTGCGCCGAAATGGAGGTGGAACTGCATGCGGACCCTGACACTGGCAGGGCCCCTTAGGCGGAGCACCCCATGGGGCCACGAAACGTGTGAGGGGTGCGCCGAAATGAGGGTGGAACTGCATGCGGACCCTGCCACTGGGGCCCCTTCGGCGGAGCACCCTATGGGGCCAAGAAAAATGTGAGGGGTGCGTGGAAATGAAGTGGAACTGCATGCGGACCCTGCCACTGGGGGGGGCCCTTCGGCGGAGCACCATTTGGGGCCACGCAACGTGTGAGGGGTGCGCCGAAATGGAGGTGGAACTGCATGCGGACACTGCCACCTGGGGCCTTCGGCGGAGCATCCTATGGGGCCACGAAACGTGTGAGGGGTGCGTCGAAATGGAGGTGGAACTGCATGCGGACCCTGCCACTGGGATCTTGGGTGGAGCACCCTTAGGGGCCACGAAACGTGTGAGGGGTGCACCGAAATGGGGGTGGAACTGCATGCGGACCCTGCCACTGGGGCCCCTCAGGCGGAGCACCCTATGGGGCCACGAAACGTGTGAGAGGTGTGCCGAAATGAAGTGGAACTGCATGCGGACACTGCCACTGGGGCCTTCGGCGGAGCACCATTTGGGGCCACGAAACGTGTGAGGGGTGCGCCGAAATGGAGGTGGAACTGCATGCGGACCCTGCCACTGGGGCCTTCGGCGGAGCACCCTTAGGAGCCACGAAACGTGTGAGGGGTGCGCCGAAATGGAGGTGGAACTGCATGCGGACCCTGCCACCTGGGGCCTTCGGCGGAGCACCCTATGGGGCCACGAAACGTGTGAGGGGTGCGCCGAAATGGAGGTGGAACTGCATGCGGACCATGCCACTGGGGCTCTGGGTGGAGCACTCTTAGAGGGCACGAAACGTGTGAGGGGTGCGCTGAAATGGGGGTGGAACTGCATGCGGACCCTGCCACTGGGGCCCTTCGGCGGAGCACCCTATGGGGCGACGAAATGTGTAAGGGGTGCGTCAAAATTGAAGTGGAACTGCATGCGGACCCGCTACTGGGGCCCTCGGTGGAGCACCATATGGAACATGCAAGGGGTGCGCCAGAATGGGGCTGGAACTGCGAGCGGACCCTGCCACTGGGGCCCCTCAGGCGGAGCACCCTATGGGGCCACGAAACGTGTGAGGGGTGTGCCGAAATGAGTGGAACTGCATGCGGACCTCAGGGGCCACGAAACGTGTGAGGGGTGCGCCGAAATGGAGGTGGAACTGCATGCGGACACTGCCTCTGGGGCCCCTTCGGCGGAGCACCCTGTGTGGCCACGAAACGTGTGAGGGGTGCGCCGGCATGGGCATGCAAGAGAGCAGGGGAGGAAGGGGAGAAGGATGAGCGAGTGAGGAGACGCGGGGCGCTGTCTCTTCAAAACGAGGACCCAACACAGGATGGTTGGGAACCATACCAGGGGGAACCGACTCGAACCTTCTGGGCGTTGGGAACACCCATGTGCAAAAACTTTGGGGGATCCCTGGCGGACTAAAATGCAAGCCGCGATGAACGTGCAACGAAACGCTAAGCAGGACGGCAGCTCACGAACGTATAGACATGACAATCAGTGGTGGAAGTGACGATGCTTGCGGTGGCGGTAGTGGCGGTGACGGTGGCAGCGGCGGATGCGGGTGGGGTGATTACGTGTTGGGTGGTGCGGCTATGTGGTGCTGGATGCGGTATCGTGATGGGTGGTGGTAGACACCATGAGAACCGTTCACATCTGGCGGCGCGGAGTCCTTAGCCGCTGTCTTGATGGCGACATTGCCGCCAAGCCCCAAGTCGGTCAGAGATGGTATTCGCGGCAATGCCTGCATGTGGGGGCAGGGCGAGCCGACGTGACTTCTGACACGGGGAAATCGTCTGAGAGAGAGAGGGAGAGAGAAAGACAGAGACAGAGAGAGAGACACAGAGATACAACAAGACAGAGACAGAGAGAGACAGAGAGAGAAACAGAGGTAGAAAGATAGAAGGACAGTAAACGAGGGAGACAGACAGACAGGAAGAAAAAGAGAGAGAGAGAGGGAGAGCGGGAGAGAGGGAAAGAGAGATACATCTAGAAGGGAGAGAGAGAGAGAGAGAGACAGAGAGAAGCAAAAAACAAAGCCGACCCTGTGTCGGCTTGCGGAAGAGGCTGTTCGGTTCTTCTTTGTGCCTCTCCCAGGAAGCCCGCGAGTCCCGCGGTTCCACCAAATTCCAAAAAGACGTCGAAGGAAGCCCCTTCACTTTCATCCTTTCCCGCCGGGGAGGGGGGGTCCCGGGGAAGTCCTGGGTCAGATACGCTTCCCCCCCGGCGGTTCGGCCCTGGCCCCAGCCCTGGCCCTGGCACTGGCCGGGCTCCGGCCCTGACACCAGCCCCCGGTGCCGGTTCCAGCTACGGTCCTGGTTCCAGCCCCACCCCCTGCCCAGGAAGCCCGCGAATCCCGCGGTTCCACCTTGCAAATTCCAGAAAAACGTCGGGGGAAGCCCTTCCCTTTCATCCCTTCCAGCCCGGGAGGGGAGGGGGGTCCCGGGGCGGTTCGGCCCTGGCCCCAGCCTTGGCCCCAACCCCGGACCCTGGCCCCCGGCCCGCGAATCCCGCAGATCCACCAAATTCTAAAATGACGTGGAAGGAAG